TGTAATTCTGATAGGTTTCCCTTTATATGTTTCTTGGCCTTTTACCTTTGCAGCTCTTAATATTCTTTCTTGATTCTGTATGTTTTGTGTTTCAATTATTATATGGTGAGGGGATTTTTTTTATCCAGTCTATTTGGTGGTCTGTAAGCTTCTTGTACCTCCATAGGAATATCCTTCTTTAGGTTGGGAAAATTTTCTTCTATAATTTTTTTGAATATATTTTCCGGGCTTTTGAACTATAATTCTTCTCCTTTTTCTATCCCTATTATTCTTAAGTTTGGTCTTTTCATGGTGTCCCAGATTTCCTGGATGTTTTATGTTAAGAATTTGTTGGATTTACTGTTTTCTTTGATCAACGAGTGTATTTCCTCTATAATATCTTCAGCGCCTGAGATTCTTTCTTCTATCTCTTGTATTCTGTTGTTTATTCTTGTCTCTGTAGGTCCTGTTCGTTTACCCAGATTTTCCATATCTAGTCATCCCTAAGTTTGTGTTTTCGTTATTACCTCCATTCTGGTCTTCAAGTTATGAACAGTTTCCTTTAACTATTTGATTGCTTTTTCTTGGTTTTCTTGGTTATTTTTGAGGGATTTATTCATTTCTTCTAAATTTTGTTTGTCTTCTCTTCCATTTCTTTAAGGAAGTTTTTCACTTCCTGTTTAAAAGTCTCTATTATTTTCATAAGGTTACATTTATTGATGATTTCTTCTACTTCTTCTGGGTTAGGGTGTTCAAGTCTTCCTGTTGTGTGTCTGCTGGATTCTGGTTTTGTAATGTTGTTTTTCAGGTTGTTGGAGGAATTCTCGCATTGGCGCCTGCCTATCTCTTCCTTCAGATGTGGCCAGGAGAGTCTTGGCATCTTGGTACAATCTTTGCTGTGGCTGACTGTGTACTTGGGGGTTTTTCTTGGTCTGCCCTCTCTTAGGTCCCCTCAGCATTGAAGTTGGCTCTCAGATCCCCTCTTCCCTGAAGCAGGCTCCGATCTAAAGACCCCTCAGATGAAAAGGAGTGCTTGGGGGCAAGATGGATAAATGAAGAAAGCCAGTAACCAGGGAGATGCCCCACTGGGAATTGGAGGGAGCCTGTACTCCATTCCCGGAACCATCCAGTCAAGTGGCCACACACTCACCTCTCCAGATGGATCTCTTCAGTACAGGAGCAGGACCACTTACTGGGCCAAGGACCTCACAGACAAAAGGGCGGGTACTCCAGATGGATCTCCTCAGTCAGTACTTTTATTTTTTTAAATCAAGTGTGAAGAAAGTCTGCCTGAAACTTAGAAGAAACAGAAATGTTGTAGTTGAACAATATAATACATGAATTTATGTTTTTCCTTTTAATTTATTTATCTTGGTGCATTTTCTTAGGATAATGTGTGTGACAGAGTTCAATGATTAGCTCATGCTGACCTTGATTTGTAGCCTCCCATGTTCCTCTTTCTCCCAAGTCCCAAGTGCAAGGATTACAGACTTGAGCCCCAACAATCAAAAAAGAAAGGTTTTTCTGATGCATTCCTGTGTCTAAAAGCCTACATTTTTTTCTAGAAAAAAAACTAAAAATACACCCAGGAAATATAATTGTGTGTGTGTGTGTGTGTGTGTGTGTGTGTGTGTGTGTGTAGAGCGAGAGCGAGAGCGAGAGAGAGAGAGAGAGAGAGAAAGAGAAAGAGAGAGAGAGAGTCAAGTATTTTTATCTTTCTCATTTCTATTTGTGACATTCACCAACATAACCATCACCATTAGAACATACACTTGAGTAACACAGATCCTGTCTGACCATGACAGAATTCTTGAATGTATACCTCATGTAAGTGTTGTGTGGTTAGTCAGACACTAGCAGGCTTAGTTCGGGCACCCTCTCCTCTTTGGTTTTAGTCTTAGCTGAGGTCATCTTTGTGGATTCCTGGGAATTTCTCTAGAGCCAGGTTTCTTGCAAGCCCCCTAAAGGCTCACTCAATCAGATATCTCTTTCCTTGCTCTCCATCTCTGTCCTTCAACTCACTTTCCCTCAAGTTCTCCTCCCCCATATGCTTCTCCCCTTCACCACTCCCTTCTGCCCCAACCCCCATGCTCCCAATTTTTATAGAAAATCTTGTCTATTTTCTATTTCCACTTAACAGGTGGATCTATATATGTTTTTCTTAGGTTTCACTTTGTTACTTAGCTTCTCTATGGCCATGAACTATTAGCCTCATTATCCTTTGCTTTACAGCTAGTATTCACTTATGAGTGAGTATATACCATATTCATATTTCTAGGTGTGGGTCACCTCACTCAGGATGGTTTTCTCCAGTTCCATCCATTTGAATGCAAATTATAAGATGTCATTATTTTCACAGCTGAGAGTAACTCTGTTGTGTAAATGTGGCACATTTTCTTTATCCATTCTTTAGTTGAGGGGCATCTAGATTGCTTTCAGGTTCTGGCTATTGCAAATAATGCTGCTATAAACAAAGTTAAACAATTGTAGTATGATTGAGTGTCATTTGGGTATGGCTGGGTCCTGAGGTAGATTGATTTCCAATGTTCTGAGATACCACTATACTGATTTTCAGAGTATCTGTACAAGTTTGCATTCCCACCAGCAATGGAGGAGTGTTTTCCTTACTTCACATCCTCTCCAGTATAAGGTTTCATTGGTGTTTTGATCTCAGCTGTTCTGAGTGGTGAAAGATGGTATCTTAGAGTCATTTTGATTTGCATTTCCCGGATTACTCAGAAGGTTGAACATTAGCTTAAGTGTCTTTTGACCATTTTAGATTCTTCCATTGAGAATTCTCTGTTCTGCAACCTATTTTTAAAAAATGTTTTTATTGAGCTTTGTGTCTTTATCTTCTCACGTCCCTCTCTCTCCCCTCCCTTCTACCCTCTCCCAAGGTCCCCATGCTTCCATTTTACTCAAGAGATCTTGTCTTTTTCTGTATCCCACAGAGACACCAAAGAGGTTATCTCTGTTTAGGACCTCAGATTCTACCTGATTACATTTTTTAATCTTTGAGTTGGTAGAAATTAGGGTTTTGTTCTTATTTTCTGAAATACTTCTCTCATAGTTACATGGTTGTTAGGACATGGTGTAGGAGGTCCTTCTGTTTGTATGTTGCTTTCATTGGTTAATGAATAAAGAAACTGCCTTGGCCTAGTTGATAGGGCATAAATTAAGCAGGCAGGGAAGACAGAACTGAATGATGGGAGGAAGAAAGGCAGAATAGGAGAGAGCCACCATGTAGCCGCTAGAGTCAGAGATGCTAAATCTTCCCTGGTAAGCCACTGCCACGTGACTATATACAGATTACTAGAAATGGGTTCAATCAAGATGTGAGAGTTAGCCAATAAAAGGCTAGAGCAAATGGGCCAAACAGTGTTTTAATTAATACAATTTTTGCGTGGTTATTTCAGGGATAAGCTAACCAGGTGGCCAGAATGAACAAGTAGCCCCACCCTGCAACTAGAACAAATACAAAAGCAGACAAAAATATATTTTTTAGAAACTAAGATAGCCCTAGATAGCTTGAGACACACAGAATTCCAAATCTCCAGACTATTTGGAGTTCTAGTAAGGACGTGTAGGAAGTTCAGTGTAGGTTCAGTCTACCCCCACCCCAAAACATCAGTTAGTAGTTTCCTCTTTTCGTTTAGTCCAGTCCTGCCTCACTACTGAACAGTCTTTCAGTTTCATTTCTCACTCAAAGTTCATTTCTCAGAAATGTTTATTTATATGAAAGGAGAATTGCAAGTTAACTGTGTGTCTGTTGATTAACCAGTTTTTTTGAAAATTTTTTTAGTATTTTCCTTTCTTTCGTTTTTTTTCTTTTCTTGTGCTGTCATTCTTCAATTTGTGCTCCATTGAAATTTTGAACTCAGAAGACTTGGTAGCACAGTCTTATTGTCTGTTATGTTCAGGGCCTTGGGAAAGCTTCCCCAGTCCTCAATAGTATTGTGTGTGGAGACTGGCATGCTGTGTACAGTGGAGCCAGGATAGGAGGAAAAAGCTGCTTCACTCCAGCTCTACTGGAGTAGGTTGAGTCCCCAAGGCCACTTTAAACAATAGCTGTGCAAATAATCTGAAAAAAAATGCTGGTAAGAAGCAAGGAGGAGCATCTTCTGACAGTCAAGTTCCTTCTTACCCCTTGGTAAGCTATACTTTTCCTAGAAAAGTGGTTATCTGTCTTATGGGCAAATATCTGAATTCATTTCCTAAAGTAAGTATGGAGAGAAAATTATTGCTACATTCAAATCAAAGGTCTTCAGCCAAAATTTTCAAAAGAATGTATTTTAAAATATTATTCTCATAAGGATTAGTTGAGGTTTCATGGATGGATTATTTCAACGTCCTAACTGTTATAATTTCCTAAAGTTTTCTTCCAATCCAACCACATTCTCAAATGGAGAACATTTAAGTGACTTATAAACTCATAGTCCACTGCAAGCAATAATCACTCAGATAAAGGCTCATTTCTCTCCTAACTACTTTGTAGAAAAAAGTATCCAGTTTCCCCTCAAATCCTCTTGCAAACCTTAGTCCTGATGGTTTTCCTTAGGGACTAACCAATTCTAGCTAATTTAGCTAGTTATCTTGCTTCTAGTTGTCTCTGTGTCTTATGTTCTGGTATCAGAGACACCCATTACTATGCTTAACATTTAGGTGGATTCTGGAGATGTGCACACTGGTCCTAATCCTTGCATAGTCAGCACTTTATCCACAGAGTTTTCCCTCCAGCACCTGCCTGATTTTCTGACATCTGATTCAAAAAGCATGGCTTTCTACTCCCATCTAGCTTTCTCTTCCTAAAAGCTCCTAAGATATCTAGCTGTCTTGTCTGTTTTGGCTTTCTCTTAAACTCCAAAAAAAATCCAATTCTTAATTTTTTTGATTAGTTATAAACTGTACTCTGTGTTCCCTAGAGACACAACTTTTGGTATAAACAAAGATAACAGAAGACTCCTCCCCTCAAGGAGGATTTGGAGGATGGCCATTCTGAGAGTAAATTTAGTCTCTGCCCTTAGATAAAACCCTCTGCCAGAGATGTAGCTGACAGTCTGCAGCATTGCCTCCTCCTGGAAGGATCAGACTCTTCCTGCACTTCTCTCTGGAGCAGCAGACTTGCCTCAAGGAGACAAGTAAGTGAAAGAATAGGTGGGAAGCAGGGTGGACAGTACTTCAAAACTAAATATATAACACAAAATAAAAAATTGATGGAAGGTTAAAGGAGCCATTAGAAACCCAGTGATTATGACAGGCTGATACTACAAAAATAATTTGGTACTGAATCTAAAGTTGACATTGCCAACTGCTCCGCTGAAAACATGAAATGAAGCCAAGCCCAAGGAAAACAGACTTTACTATCTATGACTTCCATCTTCAAGTGTTAGTGAGGTGGAGGACTTTTTATGTAACTCCAAGATAAAAAAGAAAACTTCTCACTGGGCAGTCTTTCTCTTCAAGCAAAGTTCCTCACATTCTCACAAGTTTGACTTGGACCTAAGACCTTCTCCTCTGGAGCCAGTAGTTGCATTTTCTTTTCAGAAAAGCACATTACATGTTTTCAAGTGACAAGGCAATCTGAAGTGAAAGGAGATGATACGTGTGCAGCTCTTAGGCCTTAGGATACTGTGCAAAAGAGATGGGTCATTGAAAGGTGAAGGAAATAACTTGAGTTAGAATGGGAAAACAATAGCTTCTGCTCCTTCTGTCACAGCATGAGAAAGCAGACCTACAGTGAAACCTAGTCATTTGGAGGAGGGAGAAAGAGAAGACAATCCCAACAACTTCCTCATTTTTATAAAGTGCAAACGTTAAGGAGACAAGGTAAGTCCAAATTTCTGAATATTCTTAAAACTATTACAATAATAATAAATCTAAAATTATGTGAAGATAATGCATACATATGAAAAACAAAAAATAACTTAATCATTTGTGTAACCAAATAAAATCAAGACCACATGTAAGGAGAGAGACATTATTGAAAGTTTGTTGCCTAAAATAGAAAAGGACATTTGCAACAGGAAACTAATGCAATAGTAACATCTCATAAACATAACAAATGCTATGGGGAAAGGGATCTTTCTTATATTTGTAATGTTTTGTTGTTAATGTGTGGCTTTTGTATGATGGGGAAAGCATACTTGCTACAACTCACAAGAGGAGGTCAGAGAACAGCTCCGTGGACTATCTTCTCTCCTTCGACGTTTATGTGGGTCCCAGGGTTCAAATTCACATTGTCAGGCATATGTGGCAAGTAGTCACTGAGCCATCTTACTGGCTCAGAACAGAATCTTTCTTGTATGGGAGGATGGACATGACTAGGAAGAGATTAATAGGAGCCAATCAACCACTTAGAGATTGCTTTCTCTGAATTGAGATAAGAGAGGAAAAAGAAGGGTTAGTTATAACCTGTCTCTGGTGGAGGGTCAGACAAAGTTCAGGAACAGGAAAAACCTAAAGTTTTCATTTACTATTTTGATTTTAATAAATTATCATGAGTAAATAATTACACTAATCTTTTATGCGGCAAATAACTGGAATCTGAATGGGCTATGTCTGGCCTGACTTTAGTTAAAAGAGTGTAGAGCAGATATAGGTCTTGTCTAACTCTTACATGATTCTTTATTCAGTATTTTATATTCTTAATGCACATTAGGATGTAAGGTCATTCTGTAAAGAGTGAAACTCGACACTAAGAATCTTACCAAAGGTTTTAGGATGAAAACCAGGAAGGAATACAGCAGTTCCAAAGATTTTGGCATCCAGTTAAAGAAATGGATAGCGGTTAAAAACAATAAAAAGATGCAGGATATTTTCTCTACATGGAGATGCTGAGATGAACACATGCAGGAGAATCAGTGGTCCTTAAATTTGTCATTAGGGTATTAGCATGGGAGATTTAGATTTAAAGAGAGTGAAAAATGTATGCAAGATTGAGCCATCCTGGTCTAGTTTGGTTCTGTGCATCATGGATTCATCAAAGTCTCAGAAACTAGAAGGTGGTCACTCCTGAAAGGTGGTCCCAGAATTGTCAAATTGTTCATAATTTCACCCATCACAGGGAATGGAGCCTTGCCCTCATGAAAAATTCTCATCCAAGAGGTAATTAGTTTATCACTCTGAGTTTTCCTCTTTTGGGATTCAATACCGCTCAAGAGGAAAATGTTAAGGACAATAACTTACCTCTGTGACTTCAGGCCAAGTACAGACACACAATGAAAACAGAGATGTCAGTCTTATCCTGTTTCAGTTACTGTGGGCAAAACTAGTCAGTGTTTTCTTAAAAGCTGTTTCTATGTCCACCAGCGCCACCAACTGGAACATGAGTGTCCAAATACAGGAGCTCATTAAAGACATTTCAGATTCAAGGACACAATAGGTATCTTATTTACCTCCACCTTAGTTAGCAAATATGAAAAAGCTTCAAAGCCACCGGTATGCAGATGTTTCTGTGAATATTACTTTGCAACTCCTTTATGAAAATACCAAGGGATATGATTTCATATTCATAAGCACGAATGTATAGTTTTGGAGAAACCCAAACAGTCTTCATAAATGGTTTTAGCCTATTTGAATTCACATGACTTGCTCTACTTCCTCATAAGCATATAGTATTGTCAGGAACACACATGTTACTCAATTTAATAACAGCAACAACAACAACAACAATAATAATAATAATATTTCTTGATTGCTTTCACTTGCATTTACACATCATGTAAAAAAAGAATTGTTTCCTAAACCTTTAAGCAATCTGTAAATTTTTGTGAAGATCTTACTAGAGTCTTTGACCCCGTCTTTAAGTGTGCTGTTCAATTTCATGCTACTGGGTTTTAAAAGTTGCTTGTGTTTTGAATGGCACTACGTTATTACATATTTTATATTTTCTCCAAGCCAATGGTTCAGCTTCCAGTTTTCTTCATTTTGCCTTTTACAGAGCAGAGGTTTTTACATTGAGTGAAATGGTATTAGTCAGTTTCCTATCACTGTAACTAAATACCAGAGAAAATCAACTTAATGGAGTTTAGAGTATCTGAGAATTCAGTCCATGATCAGCTGGTTCCATTTCCCAGTAGGAGCATCAAATTGGGCTTTAGTGTGTCACTGTGGGTGGCAGTTTAGAAACAAACTACAACATTAACAAATGCTTTATTTGATTTGGTTTTTATCTAAATTGCTATAATTATACCAAGATTTCATCTTGGATTTTTTTTCTACTTTACTTTTGAAGAGAAATGAGTTTTATGTTTTGCATTTAATTCCATAGTCCATTTAAACTTATATTTCATGTTGTTTTATAAATATTTGTGAGATTGTTTTTAGAGAATTCCATACAATATATTTGATCCTATTTATCTAATTCTGCCAACTCTTCCTGCCACATCTCCCTACCCTACTGACTAAACTTTGTATCCCTTTTAAAATTTATTTTTATTTTTTCCAAATCTTCTAGGTCCTATCTGTGTTGCCCATATATTCTTGAAAGTGTAGTCATTCATTGAAGCCTAGACAACTTGCCAAGGGAAACACCTTTTTAAAAACCTAACTCTCACTCTCCCAGTATCTGTCAAATACCAATAGCACCTCAGCTAAGGAGTAGGTCTTCATATCTACCTCTGTTCCCCATACTGAGATTTTTGTCAGGCTTGGGTTTGTGCAAATTTAGTACATGCTGTCACAACTGTGTTAGTTCACGTACTCACCTTTCACTTTCTGTTGAGAAAACACCGTTTCCTAGTAATTATCCACCATGTCTGGCACTTACAATCTTTTTGCCAAATGTCCTGCAAGAATTAAGAACCATGGAAGGTGGAGGTATGAGATAGATGTCCCAAATAGGGCTGAGAACTCCACAGTCTCTTATTTTCTGAACCTTGGCAAGCTGTGGATCTCTTTTTAAATTGCTCCTTGCAAAATAAGCTTCTCTGACAAGACTTAAGTGATTCACTAACCTATGAATGTAATGATAAGTCAGCAAGAGTCAGTTAAATACTGTTGATTTAGCAGAATAGTAGGGGGAGGCTCTTGACATATGAACTGTCTGGACATCATTTGCAGAAATAATAAGAGGTGTGGGTATCAACTTGAAAAGTCCTTCAACATTGACAGAAAGTGATTTATTACTCCTCTTATATTCACATCACTAATACAACCGAAGCATGACTTGCTATGATGACAGACAGGTCAATAATGTGGGTTACAAGTTCTCAGATAGGGAATATTGATGATTAGTTTTTTCTGTGGAGCAGACAAAGCCCCGATTGGATGTTGAGGGAGCAAATGATGTTCTGGGTGGATGCATGTTGTTGACATGGCACTACTGTGAGTCAAGTACACTACTACCCTAGACCCACAGAAGCATCAGCCTTCTGCCATTGAATCTCAGAGGGCAATAGGAACACTTTCCACTGGTCTGAGTGAAAAGATTAACAATGTATACAGGAACTACCAACCTGAGCATCTTCCTCCTGAATAACTGAAGCCAGAGACTGCTCCTGTACAAAGATCTGCTACAAAAATTAGCTAAACCTGCCTCCTACTTCAGGAGTATAAAATAAAGTACCTTTCATCAGGGTGAGCATAGCTTACCCGATCTCAGCTTTTCTGTACCTGTGTCTGTCCTTTCTTCTTTCACTGGTCAGCTTATTTAAGTCAATACCTGAAACCATGCAGATGACAGAATCTGGCAACATATTCAGCAACTTCTACCACGGCGAAAGCTAGCTAGTAGGGATAGAGACTCCCAAGCAAGTACTAGGTTGATCTGCCAGTGTTCTAGGACTATAGTATGCAGTATCTTCAACAATAAGGTCTTACCATCAAGTTCTAGGATGAGAGCAGGAGAACTGACCACACGTTGTAATGCTTGGAGGTCTGTAAGACCACACTGATCAGTACTTCAAAAAAGGATAATGCAGTTTTTTTTACTGTTCATTTTTTTTGTTAACCTGTAATGTCTAGTAAGAGAATGATCATCCATTTATAGAGTAACTCCATATTAACTCTCTTTAAACATGTCCTCATATACATTTTAGAAAGCATCTACAGGAGTAGGTTTCCTAATGTCATTTTTGGAGGGTCTTCAGTGTTAGCTATCCCTCGTATTTTCTTTGTCCTGCCTTCTCATCTCCCCCCATACTTATACCACACACATAAACTCCCTTAATATTTTTTGAACAATTTCAAATCAATGTGCTATATCTCCCCTCCCTTTAAATGTCACCCATTTCCACGTATAATGAACAGCCTTGTCTTGTTCCTGGTTTTAGTGGAATGCCTTTGAGTTTTTCTCCATTTAATTTGATATTAGCTCTTGGCTTGCTGTATATTACTTTTATTATATTTAGATATGATCCTTGTATCCTTAACCTCTCCATGACCTTTATCATAAAGGGGTGTTGAATTTTGTCAAATGCTTTTTCACCATCTAATGAAATGATCATATGGCTTTTTATCTCAGTTTATTTGTATGATGGTTTACACTGATAGATTTTTGTATGTTGAACCAGCCCTGCATTTCTGGGATCAAGCCTACTTGATTGTAATGGGTTATTTTTTGATGTGGTTCTTGGATTGGGTTGCAAGTATTTTATTGAGAATTTTTGCATCGATATTCATGAGTGAGACTGGTCTGTAATTCTCTTTCTTGGTTGACTCTTTGTGTGGTTTTGGTATCAGGGTATCTGTAGCTTCATAAAATAGTTTGGCAATGACTCTTCTGCTTCTATTATGTGAAACACATTAAGGAGTATAAGTATCAGCTCTTCTTGAAAGTTCTGGTAAAAGTCTGCATTAAAACCTGTGCTTTTTTTTGGTTGGGAGGT